AACACCCTGGGTACTTTTCAGCCAACTACTCACGAACTTTGAGATGCAACACCAGAATGCTTAGACTCAATGGATCGGTCAGCTATTGATGAACACTATCATCTGGGTCATAACATGCATATCAACAAGAGTAACCTTTGAAAATCGGCTCGTAACACCGTTGCTTCACTTCGACGACCAGCTTATTGGATCATATCTGTAACCCAATCCTTTAGTTTGAAAGACAATAGCGCTTCACGCTCAAGCGCTATCTGCCTTTAGACAGTTTTTCTAGGCGGTGACTTCAAACCATCTGGTTAAACATTTGTTCTGATCGTTTAGGTATCACTAACCCCGTCTCTCAGCCATCAACTAATCTATTGTCACTTGGAAACCGCAATAGCACACACACACACAAGTCTAAAGTAGTGTCTTTCATTACCCGCTAATTCGCGTTCCAGCATGTCACCTTGTGAACTTGTGTGTGGGTGTGGGTATTCCAGAGTCAAAATGTAAAATTGATTTTCTACCATCGTTCTCACAGTATCGTCTCGGCTTATTGATTAGTTCTTGACCAAAAACATTGGCTCAGCGCTGATATACATCAGCCGTATACAAACAGCACATCGTGCACACATCCCGACCACCGAGAAGATCATCCAAGCCAACTTGTTTAAACTTAACAAAACAAGTCAGCTGGCTCTTCTGTCTTCTGCAAACAAAACTGGACAGTGAGCAGCTGATGAAAACTAAATGCAAAAGTAAAATCAATATATTGAATAGTAGTGGCAATCGAGAAGAGTGGCTTTTCGATCCAGCCAGGGAGAGAGAGAGACTTACACTGGATGGGTCATTTTGGAGCACCTAATTTGAACAATAAAACAGCTGCTTCAATACTTAAAGTTTTGTAATGTTTAATCAACCTTTATTCCCCCTAAATACACAAATATGGTTTTACATGTGTACCACGTTCGTAAAATCTTGAATTTTCGACCGTAAAAAATACTTAGCGCTGAGGAAAGAGGGCGGATAGATAAATTGATGTAACGTAGAAGGCAATTCTCTAGTGGGCAAGGCATCAGTTTTGACGATCCCCGTCGTGATGTATCGAGTATCGGTAAAGAATCGTCACACGATGGTCGCACTGCTCCCTGGTCAGTACATACGTAACTACATTACGTGGAGTTCCTACCTTTGGGTGGAGTCAGTCGATTCAATGGAACGCAGCTGTGCAGCAAATTACAGCAGCAGCAGCAGTAGTAGCATGATAAAGAGACTAGGAGCACAACATTTATTGAACTCTCCGATGAATCGATATATTCTTGAAGGGGTGATAGAATTTCAGTCTAGCGCATGGAGAGAGTGTTATAATGGTTTTACCTGGTAAAGTTAAGCTGGTTGCTTCGAGATCCAATGCTGCACTTGTGTTTGCTGAACATGATTGCCGTGGCCAGATACTGAATGGGCTACCGAAGTGGTTGGATCTGGTTTTCGCTCTTCTCACATCATGCCGTTTCCGGAGAGTTACGAAAAGTTCTCTTTCGTAAAAAGTGTTCATAGACTAGTTGAGAGAAGTATATTAGTAGTGTTTGTTTATTATGAAATATATGCGTGCAAATTGTGACTAGTTTGATAAACGGTCAGGTGGTGATAAGCGAAAGTTGTTGGGCAACCATCAATGAAACTGAGCCTGTCAGCGACAGATTCATTTTATTATGTTTGTTTCAAAATTGAGGATTTAATACGAACTCAATTAGCCTAGAGACTACTAATCGCAATCGCTTGTTGAATGAAGTCTCCCATCAAAAGCTCTCCACGATTCCCTGTAA